TTGGTGATTGTGAAAAATAAAGGTGCCGTATGACTTTATACAAATTTGCCTGCAGTTTTCTGTATTTTTTCTAATTAAGTTTACATTGATTGCGTGCAAATTAATATTCTGTAAAAGACTTTCATAAATAGACGTGAATTGAGCTGATGTTATTTTTTATATCAAGTATAATCTCTATTAACATCAGTGATATCTACTGTGAGGAGTTTCAAGTATTTTGTTTTGGCGGAAGAAATTTATGTAAGCCTAATGGGGGGTGACATTATTAATATTGCAAATTTTCTATATGTGAAATCATATTAAAAGTAAACACGCAATGAATAAAATATGCAACTGGATTCGCAAATATTCTTGTCTGTTTTTGACAGAAGTTGGGAAAAACGATGTTGTCCTGTCTTGGTAAAACATAACAGGGAAAAACGATGTTGTCTTGTCTTGGGAGAAATGTAACTCTTTAGTATGAAGAAATTGTTGAATTCCCGACTTTTGTTTAGTTTGTTTTTATTCATTGCAATATCGCAAGAATAATTTGTTTGTGCTAAAAGCTGATCACAGTGATTTAATCTGAAAGTAATGCTTACACTTAGCAATGTTAGGTAAGTGGAAATAACTTCCGGTACAGCCGTATTCCATTCGTATTTCAATGGATACGAACGCGTGGCAATTTTTAGCAGACTGAATTTCAAGCCTTACGAACAAAACGATTATCTTCCAAAAATAATTAATTTAAATCGTTCGTATAGATTGGAGAATTACCGTATGAAAGTCTATATTATTTTTGAAATAATTCCTTTGATGATGACAATATTCCAACAATCAAATAGGCTGAACATATGCCAGTGCTAATAAGTCACAAAAGGAATTCGCACAAAATATCCATAAATTTGCATTTCTGCCAACATGCGGTTTACCTTGTGGTCTTACTGTAAAATGTACACCTCTGCCTGTTTGTGTTTCATCAGTTTTAAACATCATCCACAATTTTCCCGTACTGCTCACCAACACAGAACCTAGAAAAATTACAAATATAAATGGCAAATGGTTGGAATTAAACATCATCTAATCAGCAAGTTGTTTTAGTGAATAAGCAAAAATTAACCTTACGTTTCCAACTGAAAGAATGAATTTGAAGATTCTCTTAATCTGAAATGAATTCTAGTCTATTTTAGCTGGACCCCAGCTCTGAGATCACCAGCTGTTCAGTATTCTACTCAATGCCAGGAAGAGGTGCATATATCTGTTTATCTGATTGCATTCTATGAGATTCCCTGCAGAGTTGGATCAATCTACATTGAAAGATTGGGAATGAGCCCTAAAAATTTATCTACCACTACAAACCTGCTGTTGTTCCTCTCTTCCATGTTGTAAGTGCTGGGGAAAACCTTGAACCACCATCATTCACAACAATGGTGTCATAGTCATCACCTAGATCAAGACTATTCAATATCAAGGTCAATGAAAAGCGTTGTTTCATCGTGTCGTTCAGGTAGGCCATTCCTCTGCAGTCAAGATTATTAGAATAGTTTCCAAATGGCGGGATGAAAAATGGTGTTTCTTCACCAATTTCATAAATACCACTGCAACCTGAAAATTGAAATATAAATTATGAAGAATGCTATTCAGAAAACATTCAATTTAACTCATTGTAATAAGGATATATACTAAATTAATTTATGATCTTCCTACTTTTTCCTTTTCATCGGGCTGATTGGAAAATCCACCAGCAAAATATCAAAATTTAATTGAACAATTGACTCATTGGTACATACTAGAAAGTGAGCTTTTCAAGTCCGTTCAATAAAATGGATATCTTGCAAAAATAAATTATATAAATATATAAATATAAATAAATAAATAAATATATATATATATATATATATATATATATATATATATATCGAAGCAGATGAGGTGCTTAAAACTAAACAGAAAATGCCATACTCACTCTGACTGACAGAGGCATAGCTTGCAACAAAGCCAGTCTGCTTCTGTGCAAGAGGGAGAGTTAGTTGAATGGTCATAGTATTGGCAAAGCTCATGATGTCATCAGGCCTGCTAGACTGTCCTGGAGGAAATAACAATCTTTAAAATACCATAAACATTGTTGATATCTAACTTAATTTTTTCTCAACTTGTGTATGTGTACCAAACACGGTGAAGGGATGTGACTTTAAAATATAACAATTTTTTTACTAGTAGTTAAGCATTTAATTGGAAGAAAAACGTTTTATATAATATAATCATTTAAAATTGTTTACAAGTAAAATATAGACATTTTTAGAAGAAAATTATGTCTTTTCTTTTGTAAATTTTAATGAGTAGTTTTCATGTCAAGTATGGAAAACCAACATCATTAACTCTAAAATTGTAATTCCAGCTGTGAAATTCTAAATTCTAAACCATTATCACCTGTCAAATTTTTCAGAAGATCATCAGAGCTACTTGACGCAGGACTCTTTTTCCCAAAAACCTCCATGGTCATCTTGGTGAAGTCAAAAACAGAGAATGATAAGAATGGAAAGCTAGCATTGTCTGTTTTTATGGTATACTGACAAGATACTGAACCACTATCAACTGGAACATATGGAGATCGTATGGTGGCTGCATCCCAGCTGACTGTCTGACTGCATTCTATACATGAAAATTAGAATGAAAAAAATAAATAGTGTGAAATTTAGTACTACTAAGTTCTATAAAACATATGGTTACTTTGTCTTTCTGAATTTTCACAAAATTATTCTGTGTCTTTTGAAACAGAGAAAAAATAATGCAATTACTCTACTGATTACAAAAATTAATTCAAACTTCAATGCTTCCAAACATAAGTAAAGATTTTTGACATACTGTTGATTCAGAGCTTCAGAATAGAACATTGAAGTTTTTTATTCCATGTTATGCACCCAAGAAGTGTAAAATACCACAACAATTAAAAAATTGCAATCCACAGTCAATTTTTCAAAATAGTAACATTTTAAAAAAATGCTAACAATGCTATTCACAACTTGTTGTCTTACTTGTGGTTGAGTAGGTCATCCCAAAATAGGAGGGTGAATTGCCATTTTGAAACATGATGGTCGCGTTGTCTGGTTTTGTTATTACAGCCAAAAATTCATCTGAATTACAACAACAGACAATATTAACAACTGGTAATTCTAGATTAATTTATATTGTCAATAGTAAACAACCTGATTCTTTATAAGATTAATGATAAACTCAAAAGTTCAATTCTAAAAAAAAATAAATAAAAAAATTTTAAAAAAAGGAAAAGATTTAAACTCAGTTAATTCTATTCTAGTCAGGAACTCATCTAAAATATCTCATATTAATTATAACAATAGACTTACACCTGAACCAGGAAGTCCCCAGTGAAATATTTTACACATTCATTAGAACACCTATGCATTTAAGGCTTAAATAAGGAGGAACCATACTAAGATAATGCCAACAGTAGATTTTCAATAAATAACATAAATTCAAATACTCCCATGCCTGTACATGGCAGAACCCACTGTGTCAAATACATGCCAGAAATGATAACAAATCCAAGATAATTCATTCAAAAGAAAAGAAAAGACTTGCCTTGTGGTCCAGTAAGAGTAGCAATGGGTTTATTGTCTCCATTCAGAATTTGCAGAGCGGCACCTAGGCCGATTGAAAAAGTGTGCTTAAAATTGATATAAATGCTGGCATTTGAAGTCAGGTTGAATCTCCATGTACAGTTGATTCCAGGTTGAAATTTTGTTACTGGGATGCTACCAGTGGAGTTACTGAAAGTCGTCGTGCAAGCATCTGCTTCTGAAAAAATGCAAAACTTTTAAAACATCCTCTCTACTGTTATGATTCATCTGGTACATACACAATACCCAAGTACTTTATTGATATTAGACTGTAGATAAGGTAGTAACACTGAAGGGATTTAATTTAAGTGGTTTATCACTGTAAGGTAGACTAAATCTTTGCATAATGTTATCCATTTGCAGTGAAAATAGTCAATATGTACAAATGAAAAGAGAGAAAAAATCCAATGACAAAATATACAGTACTTGGTTACTCTAAATGTTTATTTTATTAATCTAAAAGGGGACCATACCTTCAGCATTTATCAATCTGGACACACACAGTATCAGAAACACCACTAGAAAATAAAAATAAAACTATCAGCTAAATTAAAAAAAAAACACTGCCCGAGTTACATTTATCAATACATGTTTATTTATAACTTTGTTTTTACTTCCTGTTAGTTATCTGGTATTGTTGTGCACACAGCTATTGTTCAAGCCTCACTAACTTCCAAAAGATGTTCACCTCCAGTAACTTCTGACAGGTCAAGGTTCAGTACTAGAAAGTCAAGTGACTATGAGTATTTCTTCAGTCAGGCTGAGGTCACACGTCTTAGCAAAAGGCAAGTCCAGTCGCTGGAAGTTGGGGTAAAGCCACAGAAAAAACATGATGGATAGCATTTATTCTACGTTGAAGTCATCAGATTTGTCAGATTATATCACACTTTACAGGGTTACGTGTAGATGACTTGCGTCAAGGAGACTGAGCCATTAACCTGGGTGATTTTCTTCATAGGCCCCTGTAATAAGACGCTGCTTACCTTGTTAACAAATAAAATCGCCCCTAACTTCCAATCGTTATTTGCATCTGAGAATCTTAAAGCAGACTCTTTGCTTACCTGGATGAGCCTTACATGATAGACACAATACAAGGCCCAGAGCTATACCTGAAATATTATGAGCGCGAGACAATACATGAGTAATTTTCACATACAGCTCCGTGACGAGTGTTGTATCTGGATTAAACCACGGCCTCTGATTGGCTACTACACTAGTGAGTAACAGGAGTGCAACAGACTGTGGAACGCACTCGTACATGACGTGCTTGTATGTCGAATATTGCACGACCGAGTCTTTTGTTCTACGTTGGTTTAAATTCATATATCCTGGTTTAAATTCATATCTCCTCAAAGAGAACATCCTCAGAAAGTTATTGATTTCATCAAGTATGGTGTCAATTGTATCAATGTATGCATGTTGATATTGCACTGCTAGTTAAAGTTATATGAACGTATGTACTGCTTTCCAGGATTTCATACCAGAAAATTGCATATTAATTAAATTGAGCTCACAAATATCATGTAGAGCTGCTAATATTTAAAATAAAATACTGGTAACACCATCTTTTCTTCAAAAGTCAGCAGCAAGTTCTCATGCTCTCTTCTCAAGCTTGTATTAAAACACAGACCAAATAAAGTCATAGAGCCTTGATAACATTGCCCCCACCCGGCCCACTCCCTAGCACCAGGTGATTTACTCACAGTTTGGGGTGACCTTATAATAATAGTTATTGTAATAACCTCTCAGTGTTATGCATTTTACAGGTCTTCTTAATGTTCTACTGTACATTTGAAAAAAAATTGCAATTTTGATTTCATCACCTCATATACTTAGGATACTTAGAGTTGGTGCACTTGTGTAAGCCATTGGCACTTAAGGTCAATTTTTTTGTAAGCAGTTGCACAGTGATTCATTACAAAGGGCCTGTAAAGAAATCGCACAGGTAAATGGCTCAACCTCCCTGGCACAAGTGATGAAGCCCTGTAAAGTATGATATAAAATGACAAAGTCTGACGACTCTCACATAAAAGTCAATGCCATCCACCTCGTTTTTTCTGTAGAGTAACCCCAACTTCCACCATGGATTTGCCGGTTGCTTCTAAAGGCAAAGTGCTCGGACGACCGACTGTAGAACATATAATTAGTCAATAATCACAAAATCTAAATCTGAGACCTTCCTGCAACAAAATTTCGGAAACGCTCTTTATATCTTTGAATACTGAAAATTAAGATCAAATCATAACGACGCTTGTCAAGAGTGGAAAGGTACATATTAAAGTTGTTTACATTTACAGCCTACAGTAAAATTTCCCACCCACTTTCACTTCTTACCAGTTATCGATCTAAATTTTTCGTAGCCGGCCATGCTAACACAGATACACCAGACGTTGCAAAATATTCCTCAGATATGAAAAAACTTGAATGCACTTGTCTGAAAACGATTGGTAAAATCAAACTCTCAAAAAGATCGACTTTGTGCGAAATATTTTCTTCACACTTCTGTACTTTCACCCCTTGTCCACCATGTTGATGTATGACGTCACCACTCTCACAGGTGCTCGTTTTTTGGTTTAGTAAAACTTTGCTGATTAAACACGTCTCTCGAATCGCTCGGCCGCAAATTACAAATTGTTGTCCTAAATTGATAAAGTGTACTACATTACCACGCAAAAGACGGAAATAGCCATAATCGTATCAAAATTAGGTCAAATATTTCTGTCAGCCAATCAAATGTCAACCCACTTGGTTCGAAATCTGTGTGATGAAAATGGAGGGTAAGGAGGCAAGGTTTTGTTGACATCCACTACTTTCACGATGACTGCTCTGCTTAGTTGCATTTAAACTGCTTAATGACTTTGCCAACTCGAAAAAGCTCCGAAAACGCATTTGTTTGCACGCTTTATGGCTTAAAGTTTGGAGTTGGTATTGATTTATCATATTCCAAATTTGGTATTTATAACACAAAACAGTAAGTTACCATGTAAAAGAGAAAAATTCTGCAGCCTAAAATATGCACGATCAAGTGCATAGTATATTTATGTATATATGTTGGGTGTTTTGATGGAAAACAGACAGAAAGATACGTGGTATTCCATCTGTCACAGTTTTAATTTGTAAATTTTGCCCCCCCCCCCCCACACACACACACACAAGCGCTGTTTGCAATGCACACATCTGGCATTCAACGCTGTAGTAATGCATCAATCAGCTTTCCATGTTGTATATCTGTTAGGTAGATGTGTTAAAAGTTCACTCAGTAGTTACAACACTAGAGATATATTTTGTTGATAATTAGAAATAGAAGCTAGATGTACATGCAATTATTAAATTGGTTCTTGCATGCTATTAATTATTATTTTATTACTTTTCAGGTATGCCAATAATGTAGAAAATAACAATGTCACATACGCCATTGAGAAAAGCAGTATCTAAGAGATTCCTGGAAACTTTCAGTGAATCTGACAGTGAAACCATGGATAAACCATCACCAAAGACTGTGAAATTTAGCGACCATGCAGTTGAGACTTCTTTTGGTGGAACACAAACCCTAGCCAAGCTGAAAGGCCCAGATGGGCAGAAATCTTCATCATCTAAAAAGAAAACTGGAATAACTCCAAGTGAGTGGGGTTATAAACTTGACTTTTTTTTGTAATTTTGTGAATTTGTGAGCTAAAAACACATACAATTAACTTGTCTGCAAGTTGGGTACAAGTACTAGTAGTTTTTTCTCTTTTTTATCTTTTTGCTAAAGGTTTCTCATATTAATTGAGATATGATATTACATGATTACCAGCTAAACATCCAGTCAGTCAAAGCACCTGAAAGTGTGTGTATATTTAATTTTCTAGTACTCAGTAGATGGTCTCATTCAATTTTGTATTCTAAAGTCCACGCCTTGTATGCTTGCCACTGGTTAATTTGTGCATATTTTGTCTCATAAGCACGCACCTCTACGAGCAGTCTTCCATCCACCCTGGCCCCCCAAGGGACTGGCAGGGGTCCATTACCAACTACAGCATTTTTGAAAACATCGCGGTCACGCAGCTCCTTTGACTCAGCCACGGAGTCTAGTTCTCAGAAAGTGCTGACACCTACCAAGAAGACATCTTTGCCAGAGACCTTCAAGACTCCACTGAGAAGAATAACTTTAGAGAACAGAGTTGTTGGAACTCCAGATGTTCTTATGAGCTCTAGGTAAAGAGACTTTAATCCCAGGATTCATATATGTATTATGTATAATATGAGTATTATATTTTTGCTGATGGGGGAAGGAGCTGCTCTCTATCCTGTTAAGGTGTTTATCCTGCTATTTAATACATAACATGTTTTTTTAGATCTTTTTCTATTTATCTTAAAGCCAATTTCTATTAATTTGAATAGTGTAACAAAACTGAAATTCTTTTTTTTTTTTTCTAAAAAAAAAATAACCACTGTTCTTTTTCTGCCTTTTCAATTAGAATATATGAAAAGAATATTCTCATATAGAAAAAAATCAGTAGAATATATGAAAAGAATATTCTCATATAGAAAAAAATCAGTAACCACTCACAAAAGAAAAATAAATAAAAAGTTGAGGACCATTTTCAGGAAGGATGACCTGCAGGTACCTGCCACAAAGTTACCCCGTAGATCCAGCCTGTCTGCCCTAGAGAACTCTGGCGAGGATAGCTGTGGGGTCACTGTAGCCGTCAGGGTGAGGCCATTTAACGCCAGGTGAGAGTCTGAGATTACACATATTAAGATTGCGTAGCATATTGGGAAGTTAAAGCCCTGGTGTTAGAAAGAATTTTGATTAAAGTCTTTTTTCCTTGAATATTAGTTGGGAAATTGTTAAAAGTGACTTGAAATTTTCATGCTTGTAACTAAAGAAGAAAAATTGAAAGAGAGATAGAAGGAAAAATGAAATTATTACCCTTATAAGTTTTTATGAAAAGTTTTTGTTGCAAGTTTTGAAATTTTAGTGTAGATGTTTCATTTGATTGCCACAAAAAAAACTGTGAAGTATTTTGAAATCTTGCCAGATCTATTAATAATTACTGATGAGAAATAATTTAATACACACCTAAGAATAAAAAGAATGACTTAGAAATTTTGTTAATAATATGTAAGACCTTTAATCATTAAAGAATTATTTAGATGATTTGTTATGTTTGCTATGTAAATGATTATAATTTATGGCCCATACCTGAAAATAAGCATAATTGTTATTACTATCAGTTATTATTGTCTTGCAAATTTCTGAAATACACTTGTCAGAATATCAAGTACCCACAGCTGCACTGTGGACACCTTGACTTTGCAACTATTGATTGGTCTGAGCCAAAAGGAGAAACCAGGTTAAACAGTTACTATTGTGCTTACATGCTGTATTGTGTACCAACCTTTGGTCACACTGGCATTGATTTTATTCTGGATACAGACCAAACTCTGCTCTTTACAAGTCTGTTTATACATCAGAAGGGCAACTGTTATTGATATTTCTACCTTGATTTTTTTTTTAGTTTTGCTTTGACTGAATGGTATTTCAGTTTTTACACATCTGATTCAATAAAATATTAATGAGAAGGTTACAAGTAGACTTTTGAACATTCATTTTGAAGACAAATCTGATAAATCAAAGTAAATCTTAAATCAAAGTTTGATTATAAACCAAACTCAAAAACTAGTTAGAAGGTGATTTAGAGTTTTAAGCTATGGATTTTTTGTTTACGAGGAAATCATCAGCTAATATAAGCTGCTTTTGGAGGATTGAGCAATGACTTTTGTTTAGATAAGATATTTTGCTGTAAGTTTTAGTTTTTAAAAATTTTTTTAGAGTAATGAAATCATGAGAATAGTAAATCCTTCTGTTCTTACAGTATGAAGCCGATCATTTCTGAAACAATTAAGATATATGTTTTCAGAGAGGTATATGAAAAATACTTTCTCTTACCAATTTTGCATAGAATTGACCAACCTTACAATTTTTCTTTAATTGATTATTTTCAGAGAACTTGCAGATGATAAGGTACGGTGTGTAGTCAAAATGGATGAAAACGAGACCATAGTGACCCAGGAGAACGGACAGGTCAACAATTTCACATACGACTTCTCATTCTGGTCCTTTGACCAAATACAGGGAGAGTTTGCCAGTCAGGAGTACATATACAATGTCCTGGCCCAGCCCCTGCTGGGGAAGGCATTGGAGGGGTACAACACGTGCCTGTTTGCATACGGACAGACTGGCAGTGGGAAAAGCTACAGGTTTGTTTATTTCATGTGAAAGAGGGATTTTCTTTGATAAAAACTCCCAATAATATCTTTTATTATTAGACAAAAGGATTAAGTTGGGACTTAAGATGAAATTCAGTTTTCTTTTTTTTTTTTGTTGATATTTAAATTTACATTTTTTAAAAGTTTTTGATAAAACTGGTTGTTGTGACATAGCTGAATTGTTTATTTTAAGTATTGTTTTCTGAAGAAAAAGATACAGGATGATCAATTGTATAAGACATAATGTAAATAAAAATGAACTTTTTAGATTGGTCTTTAAATTTATTAATAATTATTTTATTTCATAGCATCATGGGCCATGGTGAAGACATTGGAATCATCCCAAGATTTAGTGAAGAACTCTTTGTCAGAATGCAGGATATGAAAGAAGTAAGTATATTATACTCTTTCAATGTTAAATAGCATTTATTGTTAACACATTAATTGTAGTACTATATTCACCTGCCTTATGTTGGATTGTATATACCTTGCGGAAAGTAGACACAAACAGAATAATTTTAAATGTAAGATAAACCTATTTAGAGAAACCATAACATGCATTTTGCTGCACTCTATTTATAATGTCTTAGAAAAATAAGCTTTTCCATCTTAAATAGTCTGGTTAAATATGTAATGCAGCTTGCTGTTTGGTGTGAAAATAAAAAAGATAAAAGACAAGGTGTTGCAATAAGCTGATTGTGTTCAGTGTAACTGGATCTTAGTGGGTTGTTGTAATCGGGTCAGCTTTGCACAAAATGAGTTTGGGTGTTGTTCAGAATGATGGGAAGTTTTACATCTTGAATGTGGTGTAAGTGTTTCAAATTGGTTGTGAATTACAAAAGTGAGTAACAGGGTGTGATATTTAATTTTTATTTCTTCAAAAGTTCCAAGGTTTTATGTTTTCTTTTTGTGTAAGAATTGTGGCTGTCATGTTTATAAGATTTAAAAGTGCCTAGCTAGATACTGAGTGAGATTTCTTTTGTCTATTTAGGTCAGCGTGAATGTGGAAATTGGTTTCTATGAGATCTACAACGAAAGAATTCATGATCTTCTGACATCACAAACTACCAAGGACATGGGAGAAAAAAGACCTGGTGTAAGTAAGCGTGTCATTGAGTCAAAGTGAAGTGAATTCTTTGTACTTGTTCTTTTTTAATTAGACATGGTTGTTATTTTCTTCTGTAAACTGCATCTGCAATCTGCAGCATATAACACGTCACAGGTCCCTATTTCACAGTATTTGAACTTTGTTACTTGTATTTGCAGGAGAAAAATATAACGTTGAGAAATAAAATGCCTGTGAGTGGAGAAATACAGCAGAGCATCCGATTCATGCTTTATTTGTATTATTGTGTACTGTTAAATTGTATTTGATTTTGATAATATCAACTGTGTTTATAACACTCTTATGCTAATTTATCAAATTTTGTGTTAATTTAAAATATGTTTCTATCAGCATAAGGATTTGGAGATTAACATAGAGGAGATCTTGTTCAGTTGTTGCTTTTGTTTGTCAAGCACTGTTGAAAATTGTGTTGAGGTTTTTCATTGTTTAAGGTTTATGTATTGTAGATTTTTTATATGTGGTAATTCATAAAAAGGGAAATTTTTGCATTTGTGTGTATTATTAGTGTAAAATTATGGTTAAAATTTTGTAAGACATGTATAATATATGGCACTAGATAATGATAACCCAAAAATATGGATATGAATGTTCAACCTGGATGTCTGAAAAAACCTGGGCATTTTTAACAAGTTTGGACCAATGATTTATCTTTGGTAATGCATGTTTTGATTTTTTTAAAATCGTTCAAAAATTTTCACTATGAAAGACATTGCATTGATATTATTCTTGACTGTATCAATTTCAGTTGAAAGTAAGAGAGCACCCTGTGTTAGGTCCTTATGTGGAGGGCCTCTCATCTCACGTGGTCAACTCTTATGAAGATATACAGGTAAGATTTATTATGAAAAAATATTTTGTGACCTGATAGAACAAATTGAGCTAAATTCATTGTTTTTACCCCCCCTCGCCCCTTTTTGTGTGTGATGGGGTGGGGGGGGGGGGGGGGGGG